GTAAATGTATATTTTCATCCTTTCTCTCATCGGATTACGTAACGTCGAAAGTTTCCATTGTCTGGGATAAAGTGATTATTACTACTATTATTATTAGCATTTTATGCATATATATTGATCGATTGATTATTGTTTAAAAATGAACTCTCTGTGCAAGTATGTTAAAACTGTTTCTGTAGGTATACTTAATGATGTCTTTAGGCTGTAAGCAGTTGAGCTGATGAGAAGCCAACGAAATAGAAAAGTGATGGTGCCATTTTATTCTGCACAAACTGTTGTTGTTGTTCTTGCTTGATTCAAATTCATTAAGGGGAAAATAATCTATGAAATTATTGATTTATAATTAAGATTTGAACTTACAGACTATGTATTAGTACATGAATAACCATAGAAAGTATGTGTGCATGCATAAACATGAAAGAATTTATTACGTATACAGTAGCAAGTAAAACGTCAATTATTTCATTGATGTTGTTTTCTTCTTCTTCTGTAGACTGACTTTATCAGAAATCAATATTTGCTAAAGACAGACTGAAAACTTCAGCAGCACTATTTGCATTTTCTAAGGTATTTTTTTTCAATACTCCACCTTGAAAATCTTTAAATCGATACAAATTTCACAATTTTACTTTGAAGAATATTGAAAACAAAAGCGACTGATTGGTTGGAGGACCTCCTTATGAGTTCACATCAGTCGGAGAACCATTGGAAAACCTGCAGGGAGTACTGGACAGCTATTTTGTCCGCGTTTAGGACTCATAATGAGTACGCGCCTACCAACAGCGCCCGAAGTTACAAGTCTAACGAGCTCATGGGTCATTCAACAGCCCCTGGGACCCGATCCATTGGCCAGTCCATGAATTCAAACTTCTGCCAATTCATGCACGACACAGCGCTACCATTTCGCAATGTCTTCTTCGATGAGTAACTGTCGGCACCTTCAACCTGCTGTACCCTACTGGTCATGGCTGGTCCCACTGGAACCAGCCCAGGTTAACTGCCTGAATAGGAGCAGTCGCTAGTGAGCATCAGAATAATTAATTATGATGAAACCTTCTAAGCAATCAAACACAATCCCTATAGAACCAATACTTGAAAAGAGATTAAGCAAAAGAATATCCCCACTTTTGATAACTTCCCATCATCTGACTGTACAGTTACATAAACACATATTTAAATAAGTAGTCGTTATTGACAAACAATAGTGATGTTTTCGTTTAAGTAATATCGAAAAACTTAAGTGGATCAATAGAATTTGAGTTCACAAGTTTAAAGTGAAATACTAAATTCAACATCAGATAAAACTGCGTCTGTGGCACAGTGGTTAAGACTCTCGCCGACCATACACATGACCTGGGGTTCGATCCCCTGCCGACGTACACCCGATATCTATGGCCGGCCTGTGAAATTTGGGCTACCGATATCAATGCTGAAAATACCATACTTGTACTGAAAATACGCTGTGGCATCAATCTGTAATCAAAAATAAATATACGACAATTGAAGATAGTTAAAAGCCATGATGGCAAATGTAGGGAAGGCGTCTTGACGAACATCTTCTGAAATAGACACGTTAGACTTCTTCGGGTGAGATTTAATGGCTTCAGCTATATGTAGAAAGCAAACTTCTAAGGAAAAATGAAGATTAGTCCGAATACTGTAGATAGATAACTTTAAAAGCCGCCTTGTTATCACCAACTTTATGTTCTATGTCTAGATGGTCAGGCAGAACAAAAGCTCTGAATAGACCTTAGTTGTCCCTTTTGTTTAACTATGCAGTATAATATTCGGATATCCGATGATGAACACGCCTGGTTATACGCTCAATGTAACTAGCTTCACAGGAGCAGTCGAAGTGGTAGATACACATGCTACTTTGAACTGTAATTTTGCTGCTGTCAGCAACTCTTTATTATTTAAAAAGGAATTAGTATTGTCAGTGACGGTTTTAACATTATTACTATTTATTGAGGCGTGGTGCTAGCAACTCCACCCCCAAAACTTAACAAAATTGCTACAAAAACTTCAAAGCATAAATATATTAAAAATACTGAAAATATAAACAATTACCTTACTTTTCGCTGGAATCAGGGAAGTGAAATGACGCAGGCTGGTAAAAGCCTTCGGGAAGCCAGTCAGCCGATGTGCCTTCTTTCGATGAAAGCAAAAATAAGGATGGGGACGGGGAATGTTCGTACAATGTACGGAGCTGGGAAGGCTGCCCAGGTAGCCGCAGAAATGAGAAGATATGGAATAGAAGTGTTGGGAATCTGCGAGAGCAGATGGAACGGACGTGGAAGGTGCCAACTATCAACTGGAGAGACAATAATCTACTCCGGTCAACTAGAGGACAACCATGAGCACACCGAGGGAGTGGCCATCATGATGTCACCAACAGCAACCAAAGCTTTCATGCAGTGGGAACCAATCTCCTCCAGCATAATGACAGCCAGGTTCAACTCAAAAGGAAGGAAGGTTACAATCATTCAATGCTATGCGCCTACAAACGTCTCAGAACAAGAGAAGAAGGAGGATTTCTACAGACAACTACAAACAATAACTCTATTTGTCCCTTGAGTCCCGGGTGGGGTATATGGCTTCAACAGTACATCTCCACTCTGTTATATTCTCTGCTGTCTTCTTCAGGTGGCTGGCTTCATGATTAACCGTAATCTCTCATCTCCCCCTCACATTATCTCCCTCATATCACTCTCAGACATACACACAACTCATCGTCTCTCATTCGAGTCCCACTTGAGTGATGGTCTGATGTGCACGGTCATTCAGCGGTCTCCTCAACGTATGTCTGATCCCTCTCTCTTTTCTTCGACATATTTGTTGAGCGATGCACTCTTGAATGGATCGTTCTCAGAGTTTCTTGTTGCTAATTCTTTCTGGCCGGCGAGCCATTTGATCTTCATTATGGAGCTAGAGCAGGCGACTATTGATGTACGTTTGCAGTAACCTGTTGGAAATGCTTTCCGCGACGCTTGCACCAAGTTTCTGACCCATATAGGAGAAGTCACAAACTCAACATTGATGTTGGTGTTGGTGCTGGAAATCTGAAATGTGCTCCATATGCGGAGTTCAGAAGATTTCCAAACTGGTTTAAGGTTGATGAACGTGTCTCTTGCCTATCCGATTCTGGTTTTCACATTCCTCATCTATGTTGACTTTCGGTATTTGAGATGACTGTGCCTAGATATGTGAGGGAAGTGACAGCTTTCAGATATCTTCCGTTGATGAATGTGAGTGGTGACTGTTGCATCTGATGCAACCTGAAGGTTCTGGGTTCAGTCTCTTGCCATGGTGTGGGACGAGCTCTGTTGAAGAGTCTCTAACAAGAATAAAACAGTTGTCCAGTACTTTATAGCTTTCACTAGTTGACTAACTGATATCAATTCGCTACCATACGTGAACTTTCTGAATGCTATCCCGAAAATCGATGGTGGACGACATCACAGAATTTAATTCTGTTTCGATGAGGTTGGGCGGTTTAATAGTGAAATTTTCTCTGTCTTTCTAAACAGTGACTTCATATTTGAGTTTTACGCTGAAGATGTTGGCCAGAAATACAGTGAAATTTAGGGAGTTAAACCAACCAGCTGGGAGATCTTAATCACACTAACGTGATGAAATGAGTTCCTATTCAGCTTTTGTTGTTGGATAACTGGGAATGGAGTGTCTTCGTGTCCAACTTGGTGAACAAGCTTGGTCATGTGTGACTGTATGTACAGTTAAACTGGTAAAGACATTGGAGTGTGACATCCTTTTTCGTATGCTCTACGGGCTCAGATCGATATATACGCTTCATATTCTCAATTTTTCCCCTGATCCAAGCCGCATAAAAAGTCTTTTTAAGCGAAGTATTTAATCCATGTCCAGTCGCCAAGCTGTTGTGATCTCCCATGTAGCCTGATATGATATATGTGCTGAAGAATGGGTCTTGGTGTTCTAACCACTTTATATCTCTGTATGAACTTATCTGAGTAATTATTAGCAACCAGAGTTTGTGTCAGTTTTCTTTAATCTCTATCAACAAGTGTGTCTTCGGTGTATATTTGTTGAATTCTACTAAGGAAGCACCTTACTAAGGCTCTTTTATACCGAACAGGACAGAAGCTGTGATAATTAAGGCACTGTCATGTCCAGGTAGGTCTTCTATAAATAGATTGTTTTACTGATTCATCAGGGCCGTCGACTAAACAATGCATTTAGGAAAGTCAAGCAGTTATATTTTTAACAGTTATTTGGTAGGAATCCGATTTGTTTCAACTTTGACCAAGGATTGATATCAGCTGGAAAACCATTCACGGACTGACCATTGAACTGGATCCTATGGGCTAAATAGTCTACGAGCTCTTCATGTAATCATGAGGTCCTGAGTTTGAACCCCACTAGTTGTGCACTGCTGCTGAGTCTCAAGAGACGATAACGAGACAGCAGTCCAGTACTCTCTCGTGGACTTCCAATGGTTCTCTAGCTCATATCAATCGGTGGTCAAGCTTGAACAACAACTATATTTCTAATTCTTCTTTCTTTTTGTAACAGGATCGCATCATGATCTGACATCGACTAGAGTGTCATTGAGAAACCTCCAAGGAGTACTAGACAGCCACTTCGTCCTGGATTGAAACTCATCGGCAGTACGCACCCACTAAGGTTTGAACCCAGCACCTTCTGTTTACAAGGCTGGCGAGCTCGTAGACCATTAAGCCGCTGACATCCGATCCTCCGGTGGTCTACGAGCTCGCCTGGGTTTGAACTCCTGTGGTGGGTGCGTAGTATGAAGAGGGCCAAACGAAGGCGGGTTTTCCAATGGTTTTCTATCCTATGTGAGCTCACGATGAAATCCTGTAACCAATCAATCAAATCCTTACAAACCAATACTTGAATATCTTCTTTCTATGTTTTTTGTTTTGTTTTTCTAAACTAGTACGCTGAAACCAACATATAACAACACAGAAATGGCCAACATGTATGTGACTAAAGCGACACCGATGGTAGTTAATACCACTAACAAAAAATCTACAACTAGTGATGATAAACGGCACAGTCAAGAAAAGCCAGTGAATACTACAAGACATAAATCTAATAAATATTCATCACTTCAAGATGCTGTTGAAAAGTTAGACTTGAATCATTTAAGTGAAGAGGAACGTAATAAAGTTTTGGATGTGATCAAAAAGGATTTTGAAGTACGCGCCAAGGAACAAGAACGATTGAAGTAAGTACTCTTTTCGCTGTAAACCTGACCGACAGTTGTCTTTTTAACCTCTGGTTATTCGCTATTATAAAAATTTTTCACCCCCTCGAACTTTGAAAATTTCAAATTTCAGATTAATTTGAATCTAGATTGGTTGACCCTAATAAGATAGGAAATCTAGAAAATACCCTAGGTGGGGCGCTATATGCAGGTACACACAACCATACAATAAGAGTGGTCAGGATGACATTCATAAAATCTAATATAACAGGGTGAAAAGAAAGATTGATAACTGAACCCTTATCTATCGGATCAGTTCAGAACACCTCGAATAGGAACGATTCAACACCTGTCCACCATCCAGACATCTGGAAAATTCTACCACTCCTATGACAAATAGGAAGGATTTGTCCTTACTCCCTACAAGATGGACCCCACCGGTCACCACTTCTCACTTAAACTGCCTACAGTCAAATTCATCCTGCGCCCAATCACCAGGAGGATTAGAGACCACCGCTAAGTACTGGCTAGCTGTTTCATCCGAGCCTGAGAATAATCTGCAGCAGTTACCCACCAGGATTCGAACGCAGGGTATTCCGGTTACATGGAGAGCTCGTAGACCATTCAGCTACTGGGACCAAACTCAGTGGTCAACTCATGAATTCTAATTCCCTGAGTTCGAATCCTGCTTGACGTGTACTGCCTGTTATTCCCAAGTCAGGACGAAACAGCTATTCACTACTCCCTAGTGGTTTCCAGCGTTTCTCTAACTGATATCAATCTGTAGTCAGACTTGAAATAAATTAAATCCCCACAATGAACTAACCGTTGAAAATTAATCCGACGCTGGCTAGTGATTGGGTGCTGGACGATGTTGACTGCAAGCGGAGTTCTAGTGAGCCTTTGTGACCAGTGTGGTCCACTCTGTAGGAAATAGGCAGGAAGAAAGAAAGAGAACGGTAAATAAATCTAGTTTTGGAGTTATATTTTTACAAATGAAAACGTTTCACTGTGTGATGCTATATCTAATAAACAAAACCTAGAAAAGGAAATAAACAAAGCCACTCCTAAATCAGTTTTCCCAAACATGATCCCACCGGATGTAATTAATGTGAAATGAAAGTTTTGAATAAAATTATTAGAGTAGTTATCAAAGCAATTATAACAGAGGCAATTAATCTCCTCTGTCCAAAATCCATGCCACATACTCAATAAAAGAAAGACTACAATATAGTGAAGTATAATTATCAATCAGCATTCAAGATGGCTTGTATAACTTTAACTGAAACTAGGGTTGTTTATGTCAGGAGCTGTTTTCCAATAAATCGTTTATTTAAGCCCTTTATGACTGCATTTTTATACAGCACTGACTGGCGACGATAGCTCCAACCATATGAAGTATAAAGATTTAGGCAGCTTTACCACCTGTAAACTTAGGTCTTTCTCCAGAAATGCTCTTGTGTGGTCAAACGTTCATTGTTCACTGCCTTCCTCACAAATGTGAAAGGGCGGATGTGGAGGTCTGATGCTTAAGACCAGATTGGTGGACATGCTGGTCTACTTAGGTTACCTAGAAGACCCTTATCCCACCCCTATGGTGTGCGTGGGCAACAGCATCCTATTAGATCGACCACAGCAGTATTGCTCCACTATCTTGTGGATCAGACTTCAAGTCATAGGTTCGAGGGCTGGCTGCTTAAGACAGCCACCTGCTCTGGCCTCACCGTCAGGACAGAATTTCAGCAAAACAGCGAAAAATTATTACTTATCGTGTGATATATATAATAAACAAATTTATATGGAATAACATACTGCTACAGTGCCCAATATTTATATTGATGTTAAAAGTATAAGATTTCTATGGCGCATCTCTTCGTGCTCATAATGTATTGAGTTAGTAATTTAATTACCGTAAAACACTGAATCAAAATCCAGTGGCGTATTGGTTATCAACATGTGTACCCGAATATAAGCATTCCTCATACGACCTGTCCTTTCCAGGGGACTGATTGACGCGGATGAATTGTTCGTCCAATGCTAATCGATGCAACACCAGATATTGACTGTGTTGATCCAAATCTATCAAGCAAGTGCACAGTGTATTTAGGACTGATCCATGTAGGTATTCACCATGGAAGCAATGTAGGATCCCATCAGTTCTAACTTCTTCAAATTCGTGATATACCGTGACGACCAGTCAATATTATCAGTGGGTACCTGTCCTCCCGTTGAACTTGGTGAAAACCCCTCTGATCACGACTCAAATATAATATACGAGTTCTTTTTGCAACTCTGGTAAGATGAAAAGTCCCAAACAGGGAAAGGACAGCTGTACAAAACTCACTCGTCCTCCAAATGAAGTGCATCGTTGGCACAGTGGTTGGGACTCTCGCCAACCATGTACATGGTCCGGAGTTCGATCCCCAGCCGATGTACACCCTATATCAATGGTCGGTCTGCAAAATTTGGGCTACCGATATCACATGCTGAAAATTTCATACCTGTATCAAAAATACTGTGTGGAGTCAAGCTATAATAAAATTTCAAAAAAATTAATTCATTAAAAATTCATAATCAAAACTGAAATATGTGATCTACCTGACAAAATGTGTACCACCCAAGAAAACTATTGAAAAGACATGCTGACATGTATATTACTGGTTAGTATGAATGCTTCGATACCACTCGGATCAAATAATAGCACTTTCTAACCAGTTGGAAGCGATCTAACCAGGGGTAGTCCGTTTCACTGATTATGCGGGGTGAATTCCTCAGCCGTGTGTGCTAGGATAAAGCCTCTCTATCCGATTTGTGTCTAGCTAACTGAATGGAGTGGGTAGTGTCATTTGCAAGTATACAGCTAGAGGCTGACAACTTATTACCTTTTCCCCTCAGAAAAACAATGCAGAAGGCCGTCGTTTACAGAACCTACACTTCTATAGTTAACATTGGTAGTTATTGCGAGTAGTTTTGAATCATGCTCCTGTTCACTCCACTCGAAAAATAGTAAGTCATGTCATCCTAAATAGACTAAAAGATGCTCTAGATGCAAACCTTTGCTCCGAATAAGCTAAATCCAGGAAAAGTATATTAGATGTGGGTCGAAATGCTACGTTGTGCATCATTAACGATTGGATCATAGGATGGGAGTCAATTCCTTTCCTAAACTTTATTGACATTGAAAAGGCTTTCGACAGGATCACTCGCGAAGTATTGCAAACGTTTATAAGTTTCAATCAACAGCTAGCTGACATGCCGAGTGGTTTACGATGGAAACATAAGAAAAGCAAGTGAAGTAAAGACAGTTGTGAGACAAGGCTTTCTATTATCCCCCCACTATGATACTCCTAATTGTCATGGACTGGATTACGCGGCAGACGTGAGAAGCAAAAAGGAAGGAATACGTTCGAATCATAGAGAAACCCTGGAAGATATGGACTTCGTGTATCATTTTGTCTAATGTTGTAACAAAAACTTGAAGACGAACTCATTTCTGACCAAGAACTCGAACTTAGAATGAAAGTGCCACTTGAGGACATAATGTTGGGAGTACAGTCACGCATGACTTCTACAGTATTTAAATTCTAAGGGAAAATGTGCAAACAAACTGAGGGAGTTGCCATGGGGCCACCAATATCTCCGGCGGTGGCAGATATATTCATGGATAGGTGGGAAAACATAGCGACTTAAACGTTCAGCCCCACCCCAAAAGTATGGTGGAGGTAGGTAGATGACACATTCACTTTACTTAGAACACATCAACTCAAAGGTGGAGGCAATTCAATTCAATTATGAATTGGAAACTCAGCAAGGGGAGCTTTCAATGTTATAGTGTAGCGTAAAAGGGAAAGAAGATGAGAAGTTAAACACTAGTGTTTGTACAGAATACCCACACATTCAAACAGATATTTGGATTTCTGATCATCCCACTCCTTCATGTCAGTAAAACTAGGATTGGTGAAATGTTCAAGTAGTAAGGCACAAAAACTAAGCAGTACCAACGAAAATCTAAGACAGCAAGTGAGGCATATAAGAAAAGCTTTGAAACTCAATAATTACCCTGATAAATTAGTCAGAAAGTATGTAGGGAAATGTAAAAATAAAATAAATAATGATAGTAGTGATAGTGATTATGATTGTAATGATAATGATAGTAATAGTAATATAAATGACGACATGCATGTCAAACATGCGCAAGACAACACCAGCAATAAGGAATTTAAACCATCATAGTAATTCCATACAAGGAAGGAACCTCGGAAACCATGAGCAGAATTCTTAACAAGGCAGGCAGGCATTCAAACCCACAAACCAATTAAAAACAAGTTTTGTCGGTTAAAGGACCCTGTGGAGCCTTTAAAACAAAACAATTTAGTTTATCTAATACCCTGCTGGAATGACTGTTTGGTCAAATACATGGGGTCAAAGTAGTAGAACAGGGGCAGTCAGAATAGCCGAGCATAAAAACCTAGCAAAATCTAGATTAGTTGACCCGATTAAGATAAGAAATCAAGAGAATAGATCAACTATAACACTTACTACATGCAATTACACACAACCATACAACATGACGGGATAAGATGACAGTTTAAAAATCTAATGTAACAAGGCTGAGGGAGAGATTGATAACAAAAGCTTTTCAAGTGTTGGTTTGTAGGGATTTGATTGGTTACAGGATTTCATCATGAGCTGACATCAGTTCTCTAACTGATGTCAGCTCATGATGAAATCCTGTAACCAATCAAATCCCTACAAACCAACTCTTGAAAATCAATGAGATGCTCACTAGCGACTTGCCCTATTCAGGTGGGTAGTCACCTGGGGTTCTAGTGAGAAGTCGTGACCAGTAGGGTGCAGCAGGTTGGGCGTGAGGACAAATAATCGCCGAAGATATTGGCTAGGGGTCGCGCTATGTCGTGAATTGGCAGAAGTTATAATTCATGGGCCATTGGATCAGGTCCCAGTGGCTTAATGGTATATGAGCTCGCCTTGTAACCGTAAGGTCCTGGGTTCGAATCCCGGTGGGTAAGTACTGCTGAAGAGTCCCAAACTAGGACGAAACAGCTGTCCAGTACTCCCAGCAGGTTTTCCAATGGTTCTCTAACTGATGTCAGCTCATGATGAAATCCTGTAACAAAAGCTTTGTTTATCGAATCAACTGAGAGAGAATACGTGTATTAGGAATTATTCAACAACTGTCCCAGATATTTGATAAATTCGACTACTCCTGAGACGACAAATAGGAGAGATCAAATAAAACTATAAAAATTAAGTTTCGGTGTTGTATGATTATAACTGATATGATTATGAACAATAAATTTTGTTCGAAACGTCATCCAGTAAATAATACTGTTTCACTGTGCAATATATCTAATAAACAAACTGATGTTGAAGATTTACACGTGAAATCTAACCCAAGTTGGCAGAAGAAGCCGGCAACGAAGACAGGAATTCAGGTGAACACAGAGAAGACACAGGTGTTGAAGATACCCAGTCGAAAACAAGAAGCACCAGTCAACATCGACAAAAGAAACTTGAAGGAATTCACCTCTTCCACTTATCCGAGTAGCATCGTTTCAACCATAGGCACTCGGCACAGATGAGGATATCAAAGCCAGACAGGATTAAATCAAGAAAATAAGACCGGGGTTCATTGCTCTTACTTAAGTCAGTATGGAGATTTACACCACTCAGTACAAAAAACGAGATCCGGATTTTTACCCCTTATGTCATACCTGCGCTTCCAAGTGGCTCGAAGACTTGTTGCGTCAATAAAAGCATGCCCAACAGGCTAAAAACTTCTATAAATAGCTGACTCTTCGCTCGACAGTGAAGATCACATGACTAAACAGAAAGGAATAGCAGCCAGAAACTCTGTCAGGCAACGAACCAACTAAATTTGCAAAAGAAAGTGGAGCTGGTTTGGATAAACACTGAGAAAACCGCTGTGGGACATCACTCTCCCGGCACACCCTGAAGTGGGGCCCGAATGAGAAACGAGCAGTTGTGCATAGACTGAGGGGTCACATGGAAAAGATCATGTGAATAGGAGTTGTAACCTTGTGGTTAGTCATGAAGGCGATTAAAAACGACCTCAAAGAACAGGATAAAATAAAGATGTCCTTCTGAGTCCCCATACTGCACTCGGAACCCAAGGGATTAATATTAATAATGATAATTTTCTTCTAATTGCAGTAAATATTACTTTAACATTTTAACATCTGACACATAAAATGTATTAACTGTTTTGAACCTTTTAACTAACCTTTACTATTTTTAACAATCTCTGCTTTTTTTCAAACACGTGTTTAGTCGATTCCGTTGCAGTATCATACGCAGAGATAAAGAATTAGCCGCTAAAAGTATATCAATGGCTGTTGAAAGTACATCATGTATAATTTGTGGACGTCCATTTATGGCTTTGATTAATCCTAAACGTATATGTGGTAATTGTAGAAGAACTATCTGTCGTAATTGCTCTGATACTGTGCCTAAATACAATGATTTCTTTTGTACAATGTGCCTTAAAGAAACGTGAGTTATTATTATACCATTTACTATTATTGTCATTATTATTACTTTATTTTAACGAGTTAATCACGGATTGATATCAGTTAGAGAACCATTGAAAACCAGGAGTACTGGATAGCTGTTTTATCCTAGTTTGAGAACCATCGGCAGCACGCACCCACACCTAGGGTTAAAACCTAGGACCTTTTGGTTACAAGGCAAGCTCGTGAGGTCCATCCAGTCAAGTGTGAGGATGGATTTCCCACCGACGACATTGGTTGGTGGTCGCGCTAAATCACGAATTGGTAGAAGTTAGAATTCATTGACTGACCATTGAATCGGATCCCAGTGGTTGAATGGTATTCGAGCTTGCCTTGTAACCGGAACGTCCAGGATTCGAACCCCAGTGGGTGAGTACTGCCGATGGTTCCCATCTAGGATGAAACAGCTGGCTGTCCAATGGTTCTCTAACTGATATCAATCCGTGATCAACTCGTAAAAACAAAACTAATCCTTACAAACCAACTATATAAAATTATAACTTTCATTTATCTATGTTCACTTTAAGCAAACACCAAAGCTTGAGTAAGTGTCGCAGTAAGACAAAATAGAGAGAGATATAGCAAAGAATGACTTACCTTTTGTTGGAAGAGTTGATTTATTTCTTATGGCCTTCATGAGGATGTTGAGGAAGATGAAATATATAAAGCAGTGTGTATATTTTGAAGCAGATTTTAACCAGAATTTCTCACCTCTATGAGGGTTATGAAAATAACCAACAACAACAACAGCAGCAGCAACATGCAGCGCCAATCACCATCAACGTGAAGGATTTGAAAGAGGTTACTTCATTCACTTATCTAGGGAGCACTGTCTCAACTACAGGAGGAACGGACGGATGAGGATGTCAAATCGAGAATCGGGAAGGCGAGAAACACATTCATCAACCTGAAACCCATCTGGAAATCTTCATCACTCAGCATCAACAACCAAATTCGGATTTTCAATACAAACGTCAAGTCAGTTCTTCTATACGTTCGGATCAGAAACTTGGCGGGTCACAAAGAATTTTTCCAACAGCCTGTTGCAGACCTTTATCAACAACTGTCTTCGCTGGCTCCATACTCAAGATCAGATGGCTGGAAAGAATCACCAACAAGAAACTATGGGAACAAACAAAACAAGAACCAATCGCCCAACGAATATGCAGGAGAAAGTGGCGATGGATTGGACGCTCGCTGAGGAGGCCACTGGGTGACATCGCGCGTCAGGCCATCGCTCAAATGGAACCCGAAAGGGAAGCGGTGAGTGGGACGTCCAAGGGTGACATGGAGGAGATCGTGTGATGAGGAACTGAAACAGTATGGATTAATATGGATACAAGTGAAAAGTACAGCAGAAGACAGAAGCAAGTGGAGACGTGTAGTTGAAGCCCTATGTTCCATTAGGAACCCAAGGGAACAACAATAATATATAAGTAATAATGAGGTCATTGATATAAGAATAGAACTTGTGCACTGTGCTAGAGTATAACTCCATTATGGATTAAATTTTATTTTGATAAAGTCTCACCCAGTAATATTCACTAATGATGACCACGTTTCGAGCACAATTTATTACGACTACTCATAATCATATCAAGACACTACTCACACATCTTTCTTCCTTTGTTTATATACATATATGAGTAAAAACGGGATAAGACATACGAATAAAAATCAATAAAAGTTCAATAGATATTCGTGAAACAGAAAGGAAGATATGGTACATTCGGAAAGCAAATTGGTTTTATCAAGAAAATATAATACGATGGGAACTAAGACACATTTGAATCTCTGAATGAACAAGGAGAATTAGCTATGTTAGGCTGTAAACTAAAAGGAACGGAAGAGGGTAAACTGAACACTGCCGTTTATAAAAAGCCAACGCATTCCGCTAATAGATACTTAGACTTTAATTCATCTCTTCCGTTATCTATCTGTGAAGGCAGGCTTAGTGAAGTAGCTGACAGACCGAGCAGTAACAACACTAAGTAGTACGACAAAAAACCTAAACGATGAAATGAAACAGATAGAAGAAGATCAGAAAAGGTTAAAAGCGAAATAAAAATAATGGTGAAACTAATAATGATAACATAAATAAGAGAGACTATAAGGTATCTACAATTTTACCATTTAAGGAGGGGACATCTGAGATCCTCCCTATGTAGGATTCTCACCAAATCAGGAATTAAGGTAGTGGTATTCAAACCTACAAACTCACTCAGGTAGAACAAGCTGTGTAGGTTAAATGACCCTGTAGGTTGACCCAATTAGGCAAAATAATATAATTTACAAAATACCTTGCAATGACTGTGAGTGAGGTCAACTACATAGGTCTATGAGGTCACTGAATCTGTGACTTTAAGCATCCGCAAAGATTTTAGTCTTTGAAGCCTTCAATACGCATTAGAGATTTTTATACAGTTACGTTGTCGTGTATTACATTTGCATAACTATATCACGATGAAATCGTCACTTTTTTACATACGCATATTACTTATGAAACTGATTTATACTTTTATCTCAGCCTGATTATAGAGTATTTTAGATTTGTACACCCCTAATACCCGGAGGAATCTCTTCAAAGACTTTCAGACTCATCAGTCAATGATTCACAACCCGAAAGGTAGGCACCATGTATTTTAACTTTAGTCTAGTCACCACAAAGATCATCCAACACCCATTGAAACTTACATCAGCATTTATATAAATGAAGAAACTTTCAGTCAGTCATACACTTTAAGCGATAAGATGTTTTGCGTGGTTTAGAGCAAGCCATGAATCGCCCCCTCCCCCTCCAACAAAACAATGCTAACTTTCTAAGACAGAAAGCCCTTGATGTCCCCTTTAGCCTCATTCACAACTAATAAAGTGCATAACAAAGAAGGCGACGAAAGTAACGAAAAAAATGGTGCGTCCGTTGTTTGGCTATTCGCACTGCTGTCTAACCATGCAAGTGGTTTTGAAATTCAATTTGTAGACAATGCCCGCCGCGTAAGTCAGGCCAGCGAGCCCATCCTGTAGAAAACAAGACTAGTGAAACTGAAGCTTCCACCTTCCGCCATTCGTAATATATAAATCAAAAGTGTGACAGTCAGTCAATGTCGTCGGGGAGTGAGTAGTCTCTTATCTGACTTGGCGGTCCCCCTTTGGTTACGACTTCTCCCAAGAACTCTAAGTAACTTCCCATAAAGAGTCAGTCGATAATGAGCATCTGATTAATTATCGATTGTTTGTTAGTTTGCAGGGATCTGATTGGTTACAGGTCTGATCATGAGCTAACTTCAGCTGGAGAATGGTTTACAAGCTCACCTTGTAATCGGGAAATCCTAGGTTATAACCACAGTGGGTGGGTACCTCTGAAGATTCCCAAGGTAGGACGAAACAACTGCCTAATGCTCCTGGATGTCAGCTTGTGGTCAAACCTGTAATCACTCAGGTAATTGATAACTGATCTGATACTCACTAGTAACTAGCTCTACACAGGAAGTTACTTGGAGTTCTGGTGTGAAGCCGTAACCAGCTAAGACAACAGTTACTCGCTGATGACACTGGCTGATGGTTTCGTAGAAGTTGGGATTCATGTCCTATCCATTCGGTTGGGTCCCAGTGGCTCAGTGGTCTACAAACTTGTCTTGTAATCAGAAAGTCCTAGCTTCAAATCCCAATGAGTGGGTAATTCTGAAGAGTCCCAGACTGGGACGAAACAGCTGCGCAGCACTCCCTGCTGGTCTTTCAGTAGTTTTTTAACCAGCCTCAGCTCGTGATCAAACCTGTAACTAATCAAATCGCTGAAAACCAACTCTTGATGAGCAAAGAAATATTAAGGAGAAGAAATCATAGATTTGGAAGAAGCTTTTTATAGATCATGTAACTGAACCCGAACAATGATTCTAGATACAAGTTTCTATGCTCCAATAACCTTTCTTTACTGAATAACTCTTAACCCTATATGCACACTATTACTGCATACATGCTTTCTGTTTAATTTTTTTCATCAGAGGTTATCGTGCTATGACATGTACTTGGTTCTACGACACAGTGATACAAAGATTTCGAGAATTTGGGAGTACAACAGTAGCAAAAAGTTTATTCGGATCAAAGTATAAACGTAAGTTTATTTTAAGTTGTTCAAATTCAGCATCGTTGAATCAAATCCACTCGTTTGTGAGGGATGGAGGGAAACAAGCATCCGCGTCCAGTGTTTATATGTCACTTCCCTCTGGTTGATGCAAGTCGTAGCAGACTACTCATATCACGCAATCAGTAGTAGATACCACTGCGCCTTCAAATTGTTGAGATATTGAAGTGGGGGTGGGTGGAACTCGATTGGTTTCATTGTAGATGTCAACAGCAGGTTGTATTAGTTAGAGAAAGCATTTAGACATTCATTTCGTCTCAGTCTGAGAACCTTCAACAGTGTACTACAGGTTGTACCCGGTGTGATCAGGATTTTAGAAATGAATTCTAGGCCACATTCGTAGTTGGCAGGCATTATACCATTGACCCCCCTGTCTCACCAATCCCATCTGATTCTGTTATGATGAAAACAGCCCTCAACTAATGTGTTATGAAGGCTTCAAACAGAGTGACATTAGTGAATTGTGAATTGATGGTGATTATTCGTAGATATGATAAGATAATTGCTCTGGGACATATAAACCTGCTGTCACAACAGTAATAATGACATCAATCAGGCAAACTGTCACAATTACTTCCGGTATCCTACTTTTTCTTAATTGGATTCAAGAATTTCCCTCCTAAATCATGGTTTAATTGAGTATCTGGAACAAGGATAATTACAAACCGAAAATGCGTGTTTTTGACCCATAATCTCTTCCTGTTCCATGAAAATGTATTTTAGAGACCAGTAGATATCTATTCATCTATCTGTCAATCTACCTATCTGGAGTTCATTTTACAAACTAAGGTGAAGCCAGAAAAGCTAATCAGATAGAACTGTAAGACATTCAACCCTATACAGTATATTCAGCAAGATTGAAATTAGGCGTAGAGCAAGATAAGGTGGAACAAGTTGTGAAGTCATATCTATTTATTTTTATTATTGTCTCCCTTAGTTCTCAGAGGAACATTGGTCTTCAGCTGCATATGTCCACTGCGTTCAGTTCCCCGCCAACATTTTCACCTAGCTCCATGTCTGCCCACATGCTTTAATCTCCCCTTCGCATGGTCTCCTCTCCCATGTTACCCTCGCATTGACGACCAACTAACTCGCCGCTTCCCATTCGGGTTCCACTCAAGCGATGGCCTGGCGTGTGTTGTCACTCACTTGATGGTTTTTTCTCTCAGAGTATGGCCACCAATCCACCTCCATTTCTTCCTGCTATTTGTTGCATAATTGGTTTCTGCTGGGTTGGTTCGATCATTGCCAGAGATCCTTCCCTGTTGCTGATCTTTTCTGGCAGATCATCTGATCTTGAGTACTATTGATGGAAGACAGTTGCTGATGAAAGTCTGTAGTTTGTTCGAAGTTTTCTTCGTGACTTGGAAAGTCTCTGATCCGTATAGTAGCACTGACTTCACATTGAAGTTGGAAATCCGGATCTTATCTTTCATGCTGAGTCAGTCAGTCCTGTTGATCTCCACACAGACTTGAGAGTAATGAAAGCCTGTATTGCTTTCCCGATCCTCGCTTCAATATCCTCGTCAGTTCCGTCCACCTGTAGTTGAAACGATGCTTCCCAGGTAGGTAAAAGAGGTTGTTTCTTTTAGTTTCCTTCCATTTATGCTGATTGTTTTGTGTTGTCTGTTGTTGCTGTTGCTGTTGGCCAGGAATCTTCATCACCTCCTTCCTTACCTTCTCTGTGTTCACCTGAAGTCGTATCTTTTATGCTCCTTCTATCACCGACTTGTTGCTTTTCACTTGCATATCTTCCAGCGTTTGTGGGAAATCAGACACATATCATCGGCGAAGTCCAGGTCCTCCAAGTTTATTGTGTGTCTTCATTTTATGCCTGTCTCGTCGCTGGCCGCCGTTATCTGTCACATTTTCCAGTCTACCGCAATCAGGAAATTAATTGGAGCTAGTAGGCAGCGTTCCTTGTCTTACTCCCGTCTTCGCTTTAAAGGATTCCATGAGTTTGCCTCTGCGGATTACTTGGCATACAACATTGTCGTACAACTGTTGGATGAGATGTATAATTTTTAGTTGCACCCCGTAGTAGCGGAGTATTTTCCAAATCCCCTCTCGATTGACGTTGTCGAAGGCCTTTTCAGAGCCAAGAAGTTGAGGTAGAGAACTGACTACCATCCCAAGCTCTGTCTAGTGGTGAGATTACGTTTTACGTATTACGCATGTCAAGTTACCACCCTCCTCACCAAGTAATATTAGCTGAAGGTCACTGCTTCAATCTCTGTTAAGTGTTGCAGTGGACAGGCACTGCAGAAGAGCTCCTAAACTAGTAGAAAACAGTTGTCCAGAGCTCCCTGGTCATAAGTGAATTGTAACCGGCGTTCGTTTTTGACGAAATCTACGTCGAAATTTACATATTCGGTTAGATAAATCTAACTGTTTCGGGTTCATATGAAAGAAAGGGTGATGAGTAAACATTTAATCTTTTCGTCGACACCATTCTCAATCCGCATAATCCCATATATATATAATGCCTTTTCGTAGCAAGAATATGATTGTTTCCAAATGTTTGTCATTTGAAATTTTGAGTTTCAGATAGCATACAAAGGATTCTAGATAACCTAATAGAGGAACAATGACTAGGTGAAGATTAAAGCTAAATTAAGTGAGTAGATTGAGTAGATTGAGTCACCTAACCTAGTTTAAGGGATTGAATAGAGTGCAACTAGAACTAGGGGGAAGGTGTGTCAAGATCAGTGTTATATAGACTATTGACTTAACAGTGGGAAAAAAGAGGCACAAACTGTAGATCGAATTCAATTATTTCTTTTTATTTAATTCATTTAAGTCCTAATTGGAATATAGGACTTCAAGCCAGAGCTTTGAAGTTTTGGTGGCAGTGGTCTTATTTTTACGAGGTGGGGTTGCTAGCCTTACGCCAAACCTTCCTTTCTTACTGGTCTTACTAACAATTTAGAGAGGTTTAGGAGTGCATCGGCCGGGGATCGAACCTCAAGCCACATGCGTGGGGGGCGAGCGTTCTACCGCTGAACCACAGACGCGGTTTGTAGACCAAATGTTTAGAGAAATGAGATCCATTGAAAGTGAGTTGAGTAACTGAGAAAATTTATTCTCTATATAGAATCCAGGATTTAATGAACAGATTATCATGCCTTTTTTCAGTTTAAAGAATTTTGCTTCATATACCTTCAGTCAAGATTCCTGTGTACTCTTCAGATGACTGTGAAATAAGCTGGCGAGTTCGCTTGGTGTCATGAATTCATAAGATGTCCATATTGGATTCATTTATCAGGTTTCCATTTAATTCTGCTCCTTATCTTCATAAACCAACTCAGGCAGGAGATCACTGGACAGCTGTTTCATCCTATTTTGAGACCTTCCATCATTGCCTACTCATTAACCCCACCAGGGATAGAATTCGGGAGCACTAGACAAAGAGACCAAGTTCAATGACAATTAAGCCACTTTAGTTGGATTTTTAGTGATTTCTGATTGATTTTAGTTACTGACGACATGCATGCTGAAATTATTCCAAACGCTCGCAAATACAAATACCAATACTTTGATTTTCTTCTCGTGCTGATCATGACGGAGGTAAAGGGTGTTGTCAGACGCAAAAAGGTGTCAGCCAAACAACAGTTTAGGCGTCAGAGGCTTATAACCAAGTTACATGATAAGTGCAAGAAGAGGGGATCCAAACCTTTACCTTGTTTGAGGCCTCTAAAGGTGAAGGAATAACCAGAGAAACTGAAGACACGATTCCCTTGAAACTATATGGCGAAAAGAAAGATGAAACTACGCTTTTGCAAGACCAGATGTTTCTCTCAACAAATCTGGAAGCTCCATTCCATCACCAAACCGGGCAAAGTGCTTATTTTACTGGCTGGTCCACACAAAGGCAAATGTGTTATCTTCTTAAAAGCACTCAAAAGTGGTTTACTACTTGTAACAGGTCCTTCTAAATATAACAGTGTATCTCTTTGTTGAGTGAATCAGCGTTACGCCACTGGCACATCAACAAATGTTGATCTGTAGGGGATCAAATTACCTAAATATATCTACGATTAATATTTCGATGTACCAATTTGAAGAATCTCAAAACGGATTCTGGAAAACAAAGAAGTATGTTGTCAGCGGCGTTAGAAAAAACGACCAGAGGTTCGTTGACAACCAAGTCAGTGTACTAATGAGAAGTCATCCTGATTCGAGGCTGATTCACACTTACATGTGTTCACTCTTTTCACTGGGCAAAGTGACTATCCTCATAAAATGGTATTTTAACGTGACAAGATTTTGTAAGTAGTATCCAATGTGTGTATGTACGGTGTCTTCTGCAAGAATTTTGAACATTGGGGAAACAGAATAAGTTGCAAAGACAAAAAATGGTAGATCTCAGTGAAACAATTTAGAAAGCATGAAAGGAAGACAAGAAAATCACACACGATACCAAGAGCATGTGAAAATGAAGATCTCGGCGTAAGGTCCCTGTATTTCGCCAATAACTACACGCCTTGTGTCGAATATACAACTTGCCACCAAACACTACCATGCTCTTCTGTCACATTTGGTTTCCCTACCCATGAGATGATGTGGATCCTGTGGCCTGCAACTTTCGAAAAAAAGATATCTGGAGCTTCCTTTAGGATTTCGAAGCTCCTCCTATGTTGGTAGGTTTCCAACATCTGACAGTGGTTCTTGGGGGAGTAGAAGAGCAGTCGGACAAAAGGATGACTACGACGATTCATGTGAGGCAGGTGCAGAGACATCGCGAGAGAAAATCGTTCAGCAGATGATTTCAAAGTCTGACTGTGTGGTAGGCAGAAAGTGTTGTAAAAATCTAGGAGCGTAAGGTTTGGTGTGGATCCACTGATTTCAGCAGTGACGCTGATAAATCGTTCGAGACGTAAGTAACCAACATTAAACAACTGTTCCAACCCGAAGTCACTAGTTTCTCAGTTTATGGAATGTGTCCATACAGCCACTTCCCACCAGCTTCAGCTAGTGAATGCAGCCCAGCCTATGGAGATTAACCAGCTGGTAAACATCACAAGACAGTTAGGCCAACCCCTCAGTCATACCACTGGTCAAGGAGTGCCAAGAAGCCTGAAAAATAAGACGAAGAAACACTGTAATATTTGGTAACCGACCGTTTATATGTCAAAATGATGTACAGTAAGAGCGAATTACCACACTGGTGCTAATAGTCCCCTCTTACCAACTTCATTAGTTCATAAATTCTCCATGTTAAACATACTTGTTCATCTAACGTTTTGAATCAATTCCATACTGAAGCGAATTTAGCAGCAAAACTTTTGTCCCATAACATTCTCCGCACCTCTGTTCTATGTCAACTAATCAACAATAAAGTATATATGTTATGGGCGAATAAAATGAGTACCGATCATCGAAGTATTGTGTACAAACTGACCTGAAATGAACATTATTATTGTCAACACCATGAACTTTTGCTTCAGTGAAACGTAACAATTCCTAAATATTAAAATATATTTCCCAGATAACAGACTACTTATATACTACTTATCCACATTAAAGTAATTTATATCATGCCCTAGTATAAGGCATTCTTTACGAGTTTGATCACGAATTGATATCAGTTAGAGAATCATTGAAAATCAGCACTGGAGTACTGGACAGCTGTTTTTTCAGCCTAGTTTGGGAATCATCGGCAGTATGCATGCAATGGGGTTCAAACCTAGGACCTTCTGGTTACAAAGCGAGCTCGTATACCATTAAGCCACTTGGACCCAATCCAATGGCCCATGAATTCTAACTTCTACCAATTCACGAGATAGCGCAACCGCTAGCCAATGTCTTCGGCGAGTATTTGTCCTCACACCCGACCTGCTGCAACCTACTGGTCATGACTTCCCACTGGAACCCCAGGTGACTACCTAACTGAATAGGGCCAGTCACCAGTGAGCATCTCATTGATATTCAAGTATTGGTTTGTAGGGATTTGGTTGATTCGTTACAGGATTTCATCATGAGCTGACATTGGTTAGAGAACCATTGAAAACCAGCACTGGAGTACTGGACAGCTGTTTCACCCTAGTTTGAGAATCATCGGCAGTACATACCCACCTCCAGGGGTTCTAACCAAGAACCTTCCGGTTACAAAGCAAGCTCGGATACCATCCAGCCACTACATTAAACAGCTGTCCAGTACTCCGGTGCTAGTTTTCAATGGTTCTCTAACTGATATCAATCCGTGGTCAAACTCGTAAAAACAAATCTAATCCTTAGAAACCAACCCTTGACAATTAATCAGATGCTCACTAGTGACTTGTTACACGACTGAGTGTCCTGGAGTTCTAGTGAGAAGTCGTGACCAGTGAGTTTCATCCAGTCGGGAGTGAGGATGCATTTCCCACCGATGACATTGGCTGGTAATCTTGCCAACATCACGAATTGGTAGAAGCTAGAATTCATGTGTTGGCTATTGAATCGGGTCCCAGTGGTTGAATGGTATACGAACTCGCTGACCTTTTAACCGGAAGGTTCTTGATTTGAACCCCTGAAGGTGGGTGTGTACTACCTATGATTCTCAAACTAGGACTTAGGAAACAGCTGTCCAGTACTCCGGTGCTGGTTTTCAATGGTTCTCTAACTGATATCAATCCTTAATCAACTCGTAAAAAACAAATTTAATCCATAGAAACCAACTCTTGAAAATGAATCATTCTGTCAGATAAAACCACTTCAAACAAATCCCTGCAGATCAATACCTGAAAATCATTCTAAAGCTCACCAGTGTGACAAATTACAGGTTGAGGTTGCCTGGAATTCTAATGAGAAGTTGTAACCCGCGGAATTCATCAAGTTGGTTCTGAGGAAAAATGCTTCCCAATGAAATTTACTGATGATGGTGCTACATGTAATGAATTAGCAGAAGTTAGAATTTATTGGCCGCTTAACGGATTGCGTCCGAGTAACCCGGATAGTCAACGAGCCCACCTTGTAACCTGAACGTCCAGGATTTGATTCCTGGTATGTGGGGTGATAGATGCGTACCACTGAAGAGTCCGGAAAAAGGATGAAAGAACTGCCCAGTACTCCACGGTTTTCAATGGTTCTCTTATTGGTATCAATCCGTAATTATAGTTGAATACTATATGATTTCATATTAACTGATTGCAGACAATGTATGTTCACCGTATGGAGTAGAGAAACGCCTGTTATTGACTTGGCGTAACTTGGTGTACACACACGCTTCTGTAACGTCAGTGATGATATGATAACAATACTGCTGAATTGTGGGTTTAATGCGAATACTGATCCAAGGTTATAACTGATCTCCTGAGCCCACACAAACGCATAAAGAAGATAGACTAGTGCACATCGATGCGAATCATTCAATTTATTGTGCAAAAATACATTATATATATGTATATAAAAATTATGAACATTGGAACGTTAAGCTAACAAATGACCAGTTAAATTGGTTGTATAAGGTATGGCTCTTAGGTTATCCAACTGCATCATTATAAGCATTCTTCCTTGGCTCAAAAGAGTAATTTTTTATTCTGGTTTTGGCTTATTCCTATCAGTTTCTTTATTGTAAACTAAAACGATTAATGAACAGATGCTAGCCTACAATTCCTTTGTCTCGTTCACCTGCCCCTGAACATATGAGTATGAGCAGGTTTCATCCAGTCAGAAGTTGATGCAAACTTCACTGCGAGGGAAGTTAGTTACCGCTTTTCTTTTCCTTAAGAAAACCAAGGTGAAATCGAATTCTCAATTTGCAGTTTACACAGCTCTAGGAGACGAATTTCCATCAGCGATTCCCTTCGAAACTGAAACTGTTTAGATCACCACACTTATGTGATCCGCTGGATATAATAAATTGTGATCAAGAAATCGAGCCTATTCCCATAAGACTACAGACTGCTAATCGACTGACATGAATAAGTAGAGTTGTACACCACTCAAATCAACTAGAAGTATAACGACAGAAGACAAGGGCCAGGCAACAGATCGTTTACTGGGAAAATCAGCAGATATTTATAGCATGGAGGATTTCATCATGAGCTGACATCAGTTAGAGAACCACTGGAGAACCTGGGAGTTCTCCACAGCTGTTTCGTCCTAGTTTGGGACTATTCAGCAGTACGCACCCACCAAAGTTCGAACACGGGACCTTCTGGTCACAAGACGAGCTCGTAGACCATTGAGACACTGGGACCCGATCCAATGGTCCTTGAATTGTAACTTCTGCCAATTCACAACATAGCGCGACCATTTCGCAATGTCTTCTTCGATGAGTTACTGCCGCATCTTCAACCTGCTGTACCCTACTGGTCATGGCTTCCCACTAGAACCCCATGTTAACTGCCTGAATAGGGCCAGTCGCTAGTGAGTATCAGAATAATTTTCAAGTATTGGTTTTGTAGGGATTTTGTTTGATTGCATGGGTCCCAGTGGCTCAGTGGTCCACGAGCTCGCTAGCCTTGTAACCAGAAGCTCCTGGGTTCGAACCCCGGTGGATATATACGGATGAAGAGTCCTAAACTAGGACGAAACAGCCACCCAGTACTCCCAGCTGGTTTTCCAGTGGTTCTCTAACTGATATCAGCTCATGATGAAATCCTCTATGCAATCAAACAAAATCCCTACAAAACCAATACTTGAAGATATTTATAGATTTTTATGTACATTATTGTAGGTTAATGTGAGCAGAGAAACAGCATCTTCTGATAAGTCGTTTTCTCACTCGAAGTTATTCTGTCATCTCTTTGTGGCCATTTCTTTGAAGGTCAGACCGTTTATCTGCGAATCGTATCTGCCCACGCAAAGTCTTTGTTCTTGTTTTTTTCTCATGACCAAGATTTGGGACATAAACATTGACGTAAGTTGATGTCTAGCAAGTTTGGCTAGCAGACAGCTCTCACCAGAGAAGTGCTTGGACCTAGCAAGCTTGTTTGGACTTGAGCTCATCAGTCAATTTATTCAGTTTGACCTAGTTCAGAGAGCCGAATCAGTTCAAATCAGAGCTCAGCCTCAAGTGAGCGATTTCTGGCCAGGTAACTGGGAGAACTGGGTGAACTACTGGTCCACGTGAATGGTATACGACTACTTATCTCAATCAATGAGTAGTACAAAGCGTCATGCTAAAAAAACGTTTATTTAAGTAAGATTATTAATTCTTACTTTCTGTTGATTAGTAAACGTTTTTGATGTGTTTTTAAAAATTTTTTTTCTCAAATGACATTTTAGAGGTTCAAAACATGGCTGAAGACGAATTGTGGAATCTTCTACTTCGACGACCATCATCGAAAAGGACTTCTTTAGAGCCAAGTAGGTCTTTTACAAAAAAAATATAGATTCTATATTATTCTAATTATTCATTCCTTGAATTTAGAGTGAAACAAGGCTTCAGCAGCACTCCACTGTTGAACATGATACTCTGCAGTCATCAATTTCGTTTAGCTCTACAACTGCCTAAAAGCTTTCACTTCCTGCTCACACGACCCTCGTCCCACGTCTCCTTCAGAAATTCAGTAATTCATTTACATAATGGGTTTCCCTGAGAGGCTTGTTTGAAGCGCTGATGTTGCCCTCAACGTGTCCATCTCCTTATGCTTCTGCATGTTTATTGGGCAGTAGATTCACTGAATATCTTATCTTTAGTATCAAGCGAATGCAGTAGTTGACGAAAGTCTACAGCCTCTTGGAAGACACTTTCTGTAAAGCGCTAATTCCTCGAAGCCACACAGAAACTGACTGACTTGCTATTTATGGTTAAAACCCCTTTTGTGTTTCCTACAATTAATAATAATTGGTGTTTATTGTGTCATCATCGTCTCAGTTCACTTGAGGCTCTGTATTCGCTGACTTTTCTGCTAACATTTTGGTTTCCGCTCATGCTACATGAGACTTAAAGCATCCATGAAACTGTGATCTTTTAGGGTCATTTTTCTGTATGCCAAGAAATTACATTGCACTAATCAAGGCACTCTATTCAAACTCACGTAGCCATGTAAGGGCTTATGGGGAATTGTCATCTGGATTGATAACAACCAGTGGTGTCCGTCAAGGATGTCCACTTTCCCCTTTTCTGTTTAACTTCATCATAGATATGCTAATGGAAATATCCTTAACTGAACTTAACAACTTAGGAATCGACTTGTTACCAGGGAATAGTCTTATGGACTTAGAATATGCAGATGACATAGTCCTGTTAGGGGAGGACGCTGACAAAATGCAGAGTCTTCTGAACACCTTGAGCAGCAATCTTCGTATGTTAAGCATGCGATTCGCCCCTGTGAAATATAAGATGCTGCTAGAGGACTGGACTACGTCAACTCCTAGCTTAGTGATAGGGAGTGAAGTGATAGAACATGTTGACCACTTCACCTATTTGGGAAGTTGTGTCAGCAACAACGGATTGATTGGTGACGAAATCTCAGCATGGATACAAAACGCTCGGGTTGCTTTCGCTAACTTACGCCGTCCCTGGCGTAGGCGTGACATCCGGCTATCCACCAAGGCACGTGTGTACTGCTCAGCAGTTTGCTCCGTCCTTCTCTATGGCTCTGAAACATGACCAATGCGAGTTGAAGACATGAAAAGGTTGACTGTTTTTGATCATAGATGTCTATGATCTCTTTCTCACGTTAGATGGCATAATAAGGTAAGTAATGTTGACGTTAGACGTAGAGTGTTGGGCAAAGAGGGGAAATCAATCGAAGAGGCTATAAAGTTACATAGATTGAGATGGCTAGGTCACGTGCTGCGCATGCCTAACCATCGCCTCCCCCGACGGACGGGCATTACTAGCTGATATAGGTAGGTGCAGGTTGGAAAAGAGTAAATGGTGACCAAACAAAAACATGGTATCAATCCATGAAATCCTTGACAGTTAAACTGAGTCAGGTAGGGAGATGCAGACTTCCGGGTTGGGGCCTGCCCTCGGGACTCTAAGAATCAATGGCTGGAGACAAACAATAGGTGACATGGCTCAAAATCGTTGTCAATGGCTTATGCAGTTGTATTCAGTCTCTGTTATCTTTCATATTCCTTTCTACCATTACTCATCATTCTGTTTCACTCTTATACTTGTCAAAACTCTATTGATTCTCTACACTCATTTTCTTGTTCACTTTTGTGTGCTATTTGGAACGTGGCAACTCGAACTGGTGCACTTCGGTACCAAGTTCTATGTTGAATCCAGCCAGCCGGCCATGCCTGTATACTTACTCCTTTGAGTATACCATGGTCCACCACAGTCAGGGAGATCACTGATAATAGTAGGTAGTCTTCTCGTACTCTCCTCATAACTTAAAAGCTTACCATTTTGAATTACGCTTGGCAGATGGCATCACTATATAGCTGCAAATTAAAGTTTATTAATGATGCTTTTTTTAGTATAGAATCAGCTTCTGAATTGGTCTACAGGCCGGTGACTCTAAACTATATCAGCCCATACCGCAACTACCTAGCGAATGGATAAATGCCCTGTAGCAACCAATCAGGTGACTCCGTATTATACAGGCGTACTTATGGATGTTGTACACCGTTTACGTTGCAAATTCGCTCCAGATTTTTGTTTTTGATTACTGTCTAGAGAAAAGACTGACAGGAAGGTCGAAAAAGTGTGAATGTGGAGGTGTCATGTATTATTTACAAAGATATACTAGGTGTGCATTGATGGATTTGCTTACAGGTGCGATAAGTACCGAACTGGAAATTCAGTTCAAGAAGGTATGCCGTTCTTTTTTAGTTTACAGATTCCGTAGGTACTTTTTTCGACAAGTCTAAGTTACCTCTAACAAAAATAACTGGGTGCTTAAAAGACCAATAACAGCAACAGAGTATGAATCAGAAAATTCAGAAGTGTCTGCAGTGCAATGGTACCAGTACCGCAGAGACATAACGTAATGGAAAATGAACAGGCTGACTCAAGTACTTGAAGGAGTTGGTGTCATTCTATACGTATATGAGACAGTGCTGATAAAAAGAAAATATAATCAAGGGAGATTGAGTGCGAATCAGCAGTGGGTGTTGGAGATATATGACACAGCCCTCCACAAAGGATACATTGAGGCGATCGCTAATCGCAAAGCAAATGTCTTATTGACTATTGTCCAACACTTAGTGATGCCTGGAACAATAATAATAATAATCTACTTTATCCCAAAACAGACAGTACTTATAATACAGAAAGGAAATCTCAGTATTTGTCACAATATTGCATCTGATTTACTCAAAATATAAATAAAATTAAAACAAAATTAATCGGAGGAATTTGTCCACATTTACGACATAAAGTCAAAAATATTCGAAGCATGAACTAAGATAATTAAATATAATAATAATAACAGTGAGTTTGTTTCAAACGGTATTGTCGATTCAGTTTGGAAACTTTAGCATGTTATAGATTATTGGGTCTAATGTTCTGTTGATATAGTATAGTGAGGGGAAATACAAAATTAACAGTTATAATACAGCTTAAATTATGTCCACACTTATGAAAAAAAATAAACGAAACGAAAAAATTGAGAGGATTATAAATGTAAGCAATACAATAACAATAAAGTATGATGCTTTAAGAGTGAAAAAAATGGTTTATTTAGTGGTGCTTAGAAGGTTAGTTAGATCATGTCTGACACCATTTTCATCACATAAAGTTCGTGCTAAATATGGTACAGTGGAATTTTTTTACTTAGACGTACGTGCATAAATTCTTTTGAAATGACTTCTTGTTTTACCTGAGGAGACACAAGGTTGGGGCTGCGGGTAGAGTGGGTGCTCAGAGTCTGACAAAATTCCTTTAGCAAATTTGTTGCATGACATCAAGTGCCTATCAGTGACAATGTCAACGATATGGCCCAATGGGATAGCACTCGTCCTATCAACTCTGGGCTATATTCATCATGTCGTCAACCATACAAATGATTTCATCAATCCTTTCGATGGAACTCAAACTAATCCCATCGGAAATTTTTGGAGACACCTCAGAAAATGGATCAGATCTCTGAATGGATCAAGAAATGCAATGATATACAGTTATATCGATGAGTTTATGTACAGGGCTTGGTTTAACATAACTATGAGGACTCCTATGAGAAAGTGGGAGGTTTTTTTGGAACATATACGACAACGTTATCCTTTGTAACTATTTTTTAACATTGCATTACTTTTATGCAAACGTTTTATTCAAATTGTGCGCTGTTTTTATAGAGGCGTCTGATTGGTCACAGTTGTCCCTGTCAGGGTCATTTATCCGTTCGCTAGGTAGTTTCGGTTTGGGTTGTTATAGTTTAGAGTCACCTACAGGCCTTTTTAAAGCTGACGAATTTGAAGTAAAGGGTTAACTGCTATTCTTAGTATTGCTCGGTAATGTTGCATAGTATTGTAGTTCGATCTTCACATGAGTTGATTTTCATGAATCTAGCCTGTTCTGGGCGAGATTTTGTATCTATATCATCTTTTAGTCTCTTTAGAATGTCACAACTCAATATTTTAATTGAGGTGGACACAAGCATGATTCCACAAGAGTTCTTGTATTGGCCGCCTGTGATTAATATGCACGTTATTTTTGTACTGATCCCTTGACTTTTATCAGAACCATCATCTGCGATTATCAAATCAGATTGACTTAACTACTCTTTTTATTTTTATTCCTTTACGTTCACAGTGGAACATAGCATAGGGCTTCAAGGTACAGGCGGCGTCCAGACCAACCTTCCCTCTTTACCAGTCTTATTACTGGGTTAGCGGGGTAAAGGAGTGCGTCAGTGGCCGGGGATCGAAGTCCGGACCACATGTGGCGTGGGTGGCAAGCCTTCCACAGCTGTACCACCAATGCACTTCTGTTTTTAATAATAATAATTTGCTTTATTCCAGAAACAGTACTAGTGGTACAGTGTGGGATTTTCAGCACATATCTACAATATTTGCATCTAATTTTATCAAACATTTAAAAGGAGTATTTCAAAAAATAAATATAAAGACAACAACAAAAAATCAACACAAAAATAATTTTTTAAATGAGCAAAAATACCAAGAAGTAGAAAGGAAAATAAACAACATAAAATAATATCTTAGTATTGGGTAATGGAAGCTATAATATGATTATGCATGGTGACAGTAAAGCTATAGTCATACAAGAAGTTATGAAATAATATTTAAGAATGTTTGTCGCCAAGATGATCAGTTAAGTTGATTGTAACAACTCCAAACAATCATAAAATAACATTTCAGGTTTTTTTTATTGTCAGGTCTAATACAGTGTTTGTAGTGGTAGTGTGACTAATCCTGCATAATACAAAATTTTAAGATGGTGACAATGGCTT